AAAAATGTTATAAATTGATTTGCATTTTAATGAGGGAAATAAGTATTTGACCCCTCTGCAAAACATGACCTAGTACTTGGTGGCAAAACCCTTGTTGGCAATCACAGAGGTCAGACGTTTCTTGTAGTTGGCCACCAGGTTTGCACACATCTCAGGAGGGATTTTGTCCCACTGCTCTTTGCAGATCTTCTCCAAGTCATTAAGGTTTCGAGGCTGACGTTTGGCAACTCGAACCTTCAGCTCCCTCCACAGATTTTCTATGGGATTAAGATCTGGAGACTAGCTAGGCCACTCCAGGACTTTAATGTGCTTCTTCTTGAGCCACTCCTTTGTTGCCTTGGCCGTGTGTTGGGTCAATGTCATGCTGGAATACCCATCCACGATCCATTTTCAATGCCCTGGCTGAGGGAAGGAGGTTCTCACACAAGATTTGACGGTACATGGCCCCGTCCATCGTCCCTTTGATGCGGTGAAGTTGTCCTGTCCCCTTAGCAGAAAAACACCCCCAAAGCATAATGTTTCCACCTCCATGTTTGACGGTGGGGATGGTGTTCTTGGGGTCATAGGCAGCATTCCTCCTCCTCCAAACACGGCGAGTTGAGTTGATGCCAAAGAGCTCCACTTTGGTCTCATCTGACCACAACACTTTCACCCAGTTGTCCTCTGAATCATTCAGATGGTCATTGGCAAACTTCAGACAGGCATGTATATGTGCTTTCTTGAGCAGGGGGACCTTGCGGGCGCTGCAGGATTTCAGTCCTTCACGGCGTAGTGTGTTACCAATTGTTTTCTTGGTGACTATGGTCCCAGCTGCCTTGAGATCATTGACAAGATCCTCCCGTGTAGTTCTGGGCTGATTCCTCACCGTTCTCATGATCATTGCAACTCCACGAGATGAAATCTTGCATGGAGCCCCAGGCCGAGGGAGATTGACAGTTCTTTTGTGTTTCTTCCATTTGCGAATAGTCGCACCAACTGTTGTCACCTTCTCACCAAGCTGCTTGGCAATGGTCTTGTAGCCCATTCCAGCCTTGTGTAGGTCTACAATCTTGTCCGTGACATCCTTGGAGAGCTCTTTGGTCTTAGCCATGGTGGAGCGTTTGGAATCTGATTGATTGATTGCTTCTGTGGACAGGTGTCTTTTATACAGGTAACAAGCTGAGATTAGGAGCACTCCCTTTAAGAGTGTGTTCCTAATCTCAGCTCGTTACCTGTATAAAAGACACCTGGGAGCCAGAAATCTTTCTGATTGAGAGGGGATCAAATACTTATTTCCCTCATTAAAATGCAAATCAATTTATAACATTTTTGACGTGCGTTTTCTGGATTTTTGTTGTTGTTATTCTGTCTCTCACTGTTCAAATGAACCTACAATTAAAATTATAGACTGATAATTTATTTGTCAGTGGGCAAACGTACAAAATCAGCAGGGGATCAAATACTTTTTTCCCCTCACTGTATACTAACGAACCAGCTTCCATGAAACTTAAAAATCACATTAACTTAGAACACAAACTCGCAATTGCCGACTGAACCGTGGAACTATTTTGTTCAGAGCAAGCCTACGCGAGATCTAATGAGTCAGCCTCACGCTCGGCTGAGAATGTGTGTGTGCGCACGGACGGTAGTATAGTGGTTAGCGCGCTGCGCTACGAAAACAGCAACCTCAGTACCTGTTGTAGTGTGTAAAAATCACCACAAGGGGAGAGAATGGTGGCTGGGCGTGGAGTTGGCTACCTAACCCCCTCGTACCAGCTTTCATCAATGGTACTCGCTTACAGCACTTGCTCCTTACAGCCTATTAAGGCTATACAGGGAGACTCTCTTTGTGTGCACGTATCTTTGTCTCTCGGGATGCGAGCACTAGTGCAACGGTCAGCGCGCTGTGCTACCAACCTGCCTACCAAAGTTCAATTCCCGCTAACGATCAATACCAGTGACGATTAACTGAATGGAACCTGGGCCTCTCCTAGGTCGACTCGGCGTCAAATGAGTGCCTGGTGCAGTGTGTGAACATCGCCACTGGGGAGACAAAGGCGGCCGGGGCGTGGTGCTGGCCACTCACCCCCTAGTGTGTTGTGCCGGCCTTTATAGGCGCTGCTCACTAACAGCACTTTCCCCAACAATCTGTTAAGGCTACACGGGGACATTGTTGTCGTGTGTGTGTCTGTGTGCGCTTTGTGTATGCGCACATGCCCCTTGTGTGTGCAATTGTGGTGACTTATTTCCCCCCTTCCGATCACAAGCTAGCATCAGGACTCAAGGTAAGTGAAAATAAAGCTGTTTTTTTTCTATTTATGTTACTTTATTTTGTTTACTATACAGTCTTTTTTACAGTGTTACATGAAAATGTTAAATATTTCTTCTTAATTATGAGTTTAACAAGGCTTCCCTTTTTGTTGAACCATAACACATTTCATAACACTGACATTTAAATAGTGCATTATTGTGACCGACTTCAAAACGGATCTCAGGAACAAATTAGGTGTGTAACCTGAGGACTGTCCGTGTGCTGCTGTGTGCTTACCTTCACCAAAATCAAGACTCTGCTGATTCACAAGGGCTTTCCATATAGCAGGTGTTGCTACCTACCAGATTGAAAAGTTTGCGTGTGTAAGACCCATCCATCCAGGCAGGAGGATGTGAGATTCGCTTGTGATCTGGCATTGGCATCGAATATTCAATGCTTTCAGGAGTGTTCACTCAAAAAACGAAACGTTATCTTGTTTCAAATAATGGTGAAAGATGCCACTGCAATAGGCAGTGTCCTTCACGTATTTTTGCGTAGTTTTATGATTAAAAGTGGAATGGGATTCCATCTCACTCATCACCCTAAGCCGCAAAACCAAGTAATCCCACCAAATGTTGTACGTTAATGAGACCAGCATGAGTGCACTATAATGCCAGTATAATAGCTATTTTACATGATTATAGCACGTGACTAATGTGAAATATTTATCATTCATGAAAAAAATATTAATTATACTGTGATTAAATAAGTGAAAAATACAATATACAACATCGAACATTTACAGCTCTTACTCGGCTTTAAATATGCATAACTGCATTGTTTGTGTTGACGTTAGGCTGACAAGATGCAATCCATTTTATGCAATGCAGTTGCTTCACGCAATTGCTCAGTGTTATATCTTGGAAATGAACGTGCACACACATGTACAATTTACATATTCCATCAATCAAACTCAGCCCGAGTTTTTATATGTGTTACATATAGCCTATAATTCCTTTGTACAGTTACAAGGGAGTAATTACGTATTATTATGAAAGGGGTTATGTGTACCGAAAGCTGTAATTCCTAGCAACATGGTATTGTCACGCTTTAATTTACCAGCATATTACACGCGTACTGCACAAAACATAGTGAAACAATATAAATCATGTTTACTACTGTAATATGACATAATGTACATGTTGGTGTACGGTGTGCATTATGTATTACACATGATGCATGCAAGGTTTTTTTTGTACCGATTGCTATTACTTCATTGCTTTACATAATTTTGTTCATATTCTTTGGTTCTTTCGGTAAAGTCACGTAGATAGAAAACAACAAAACAAAAACTCATCACGTTTCGATCGCAACACAAGCAGTCGTCATCAGGCGGAGAGATGATGACGATCACTTGTGTTGCGATCTAAACGTCGTGAGTTTTTGTTTTTGTTATTTTATTGTTTTCTATCTACGTGACTTTACCGAATGAACCAAATAATATTAATTCCTGCAGGACAACAGATGCACCGTACACACAAACTCAATAAAAAAGTGTTCGTTTTTTACGTTTACTCGGTCTCTGGAGTTCTCACCCTGGTTAAACAAAATAAACTTGACACGAGAACACAAGGCTAAGTAGTAAACACAACTGTGGTAACAATTCCTGCAAGTGACTTTAACGGTCAAAATTATTGGCATCAATTCCACCAAAACAGTGGTATTGGAACAATGATTTAGACCCATATGAAACCTCGCTCACAGTTGCTGATTTGGGTATATTGAAATTATCAATACAATAATGAATGAAAATGTATTTTAAATATCAGGCATACGCATTCAGATTGTTTTCCAAACACCAAATGTATATTACATTTTAAATGTTCAAATGATATGTATTCTTATTCTTTGGTTCTTTCGGTAAAGTCACGTAGGTAAAGTCACGTATACCTAAAGTCACGTATACCTACGTGACTTTACCGAAAGAACCAAAGAGTATGGATTCCTGCAGTCACAAAAGCTTCAAATCCAGATTGATATGTATTCTTAATCATGTTGTCAATTTTCATAATATGAATTTGCTGTTCTGATGTACTTATTTTAGTCAAAGTCTAAAGATGATCTATCAATTTAAACCCCCCACCCCCAATCACATACAATAATATAAACAATCTAACATTGGATTCACAAAGGGCTTTACATGTACAATCAATATCCATCCCTCTTTGAAATAAATTATTATTTAATTTAATTTCTTTCTACGTGGCGTTACCGAAAGAACCAAGGAGTAATGCCTGTAGTCATGAAAGCTTCGAATCTAGTTTAATATCCATCCCATCATTAATCCACTGCTGGATTAGGTCCTCCCCACAACGTGTAGACATCGGGACACAGCACAGCAACAACAATGGATTTTTGCACATAATTCTCTGCTGCCCACAACATAGCCCTGCAGTCTATAACATCTGTCGTGCATGTCACGAATCCAAGCACAAACCATGCTCAAACATTCCTATTTTCGGGATCTGATGGGATCATTGCACATTCCGATTAATTTGGTCATAGGCAACCATGGATAATGTGCTCAATAAAGCATCGCATTATGCTATCATTATTTAACACATGCATTGCATTATTTAATTGTCTTTGTGTATGACAGACCTTAAATGTAATTGCATAGTCCTGCAAAAACAACAGAACACAAAGTTAGCCGCACAAGACAGCACATGGATTTTTCTGTCTTATTCTGACAGTGGGTTGCAGGACGTACCCACTGAGCATGTGAATTCGCTCCGTGTTGTACTTGAGAGGGGTGAGGTCCTGGCGCAGCACCTGCAATGCCTCCAACAGCTTGCCATCTTCCAGGTACTCCAGGTACTTCTGCTCCAAGAGGAGGAACTTCATGCGCTGCATGGCCATACAAAGCCATAACAAACACACAGCAAAGACGATAATAAACAGTCGTATGTATGTCTGTACACGTGGGGTGCAGTCAGAAAACAGAATGGAAATTTCATTTTCCTACAATTTACAACTAAAAATATGGATTATGCTTGAAGCCACTCATTGAAAGGTTTATTATGGTACAATACAAATACATTTCACACTGCTAACACCAATTTAACCATGGTACAGTTAATGACATATATTGTAATGACAATTAACCAATATGACGAGTGACTGATACACTGCTACAAGGCAGTATAATGTGTGGCCAGAAATGCACGGTGTCCGTGGGTCACACAGCAGTCTTTACTGTATTACCCATTTATTTATTCATAACTCTAATGACTTCACCCTAGTCTACCTTTCCCCTACTCTGTTTCTCTGTCTTCTCTAGGTATCTCTGTCTCAAGGCCCTCACTGTTTTCAAGTTCTTCCATCAACTAACTCCTACCTGTCCTCTGTTGCAGCAACCAAGGCCTTCTATCAAAATTCCCAGTCAACCTCCAATCTATGGGTGGCTGCTCATTCTCTGCTGTGATCCCGACTGTCTGGAACTCATTACCTCTGGCTGTCTAATATGCCGACTTCCTTGCCATTACTGATTTTGGACTCAGGACCAACGCTTTTTTACTCTGCCTATGAGTGGCCCACTACCACTTTTAAGTGCCTTCAATAGCACCTTAAAAACAATCAACTGTAGTTTCCTATTCCTCTTTGTACAATGTCTGGACAAGCGGTAGCATGTAGTCACTCCACAAATTAACATTGCTTGGTGTTGTATTGAAACAAACAACTAGTGAAATAACAATATATTGTGTAGGCAAGAGACAATAACTTTAAGAAAGTTCACTAATAGTGTATCTTGTTTTTTGTGCTGTTTTACAATTCAAACATTGCATGTTTGAAAACTTTAATTAAAATACTGTATCATAAGCATTTATCATTAGGTGTGTAACAATGTCATCAATTAATATTGGTTCTTTAAGCTCACCACACACATAGAATCATGCGTTAGAATGCATATATTTATGGTTACATATGTTGTAACATATATAAATGAATGCATTTTATGAGGATAAAAGTTAACTCGAGCATTTCAATTAATGCATATTAGCCTGCTATGACATATGAATCACAAACATGGCAATTAACAATACAACTGAACTGAATCTGAAAATCGCACAAAGAAGTATGGAGAGACGCATGCTTGGAATTACACCGAGACAAACATCAAAGGAATACATGCATCAGAGAACCCATACGGAGGTTAAAGACAGCATTCAAACTGTTAACGGCATTAAGTTGACGTGGGCAGCACATATCGTCAGAAGGAATCACAGTCAAAACATCATGATTGAGTACAATTGCTCGGTGGATTATTACATTACAGCATCACGAGTGATAGTGGATTGGGGATGACTTCATCCAGCAGTGGATTGATCGTGGCTGCTGATTATGATCATGTGCCACATGTAATGAGCTCGTCAAGTGACGCTTGCAGCCACGGGGCGCTTGACTCGAATCGCAGTGCTGGGTTCAGGGGGGGGGGGTTGGTAAATTGTTGCATCCATCCCCATTTATCGCACTATGCCTATAACTGTACTCAGACATGACAGCGTGCATCAACAATCTGAGTTTCCCCAAGTCAGTAAGATGCATTTACTCATAACGTATGATACTTGACTTATTGTTCAACATTATTCCATAGCTGTTTACTTTATCTACTTTTCAACAATTTTACACCAAAAAACAATCTTCTAGATGAAAAAAAAAATCCTCCCCCTGTGTACAAGTAAATTTCTGCTGTATTCCCAATAACATTATACAAGTGGCTTTTACAGCACTTTAAACCATTGCGCTAAAATTACATATTCATACTCTTAAACATTTTACATGAATAATCGGGGTTGAGATAATTGCGATTGCAACGGGTCGCAGAGAGGGTGGTGGCTGAGACGGAGTTTGTGGGTGACACGAGGCGGACACACGAGCCCACGGCTGGCACAGCTAGCCGTGCTGCCTCTTTCCGACACCAATCGCGTTCCTGGAATGGCTGCAGACAGTGCAAGATGCAGTGGCAGGTCGAGCCGACATTACAACAAAAAAAAACCGATTACTACATTCACTGGCAATCAAAACTGCAAAAAAGGCTCGCTCGCATCTAAAAAAAAGCACACCTCCCCATTATTTCCCTTGAGCAATTTCTGATACATCCACACGTGAGAGAGAGAGAAAAAACGGGACGATGTTTGGCGTACATTAAAACGGACACGGGACTGCAAAATATCTCAACAAGCGAGTACAGGACAACAGATGCACCGTACACACAAACTCAATACCAACAATGGTTTTAGACACCTGCAGCGAGCTACTTCAGGGTGATATGAAATCCATCGAGGGGCACTTAAACGTGTGCGTCTATATAAAATGTGAGCCCAGCCGAGATGGGCACACAACGCGCACTGTGTACAGCTGTACACACACAGTGGGGCATTGGCAAGAAGTTGTTCCCCGAGCCAAAGGATTCCCCCCCCTTGTGTCACTTAAATGTTTTAGGAGGTAGTGGAAAGAACCAAGGCTTATGCCTATGCAAAGTCATAACGTGACACATTCGCTGAGATACGCTTGTAAGAGTGACTGACATGGGTGTGTTGTCGGATCCATTCCATTTATCACAATGTAGGAGGAACCTTTTCTTCCAGAAGGTTTACAGTAATAGTGTCCACGCTGGTTTGTTTAAGGCCATTCGTAATGGTCTGTCGTTCATAACGGTGAAAGTTTCAGCAACGTTTCTTAAACCAAAATGATCTTTCACCGGCTCCAACACACTTGTGTTTATATCAATGTGTAACCGCTAAATAGTAAAAGACATACACGTGTGTACGTTTTAAAAAACCTAACTTGCACTGCATCAACTAAACTATTGACTTACATGAGTACAAGCACTATGCTGTGAGTAAGTTTTATTCACCATATGAAAATAATGCGTTAACAAACTCACGCATGGCATTACAAGTTTCGCAAATACATACCACACATTGGGACTGCTGCTGTTTCTTAAACAAACAACAAAAAAACACTACGTGGAGGACACAGAGCAGGCAGTGGAATTGAACAAAAGCCATTAAAACGTGAGGCCGAGTTGGCAAACAGGAGGCGGGGCAGGGGAACGAGGGGGAGAGGAAATTCGGGCTGCTGCTGTAAGCAAAGCGCAATGTACAGTGAGGGGGGAAAAGTATTTAATCCCCTGCTGATTTTGTACGTTTGCCCACTGACAAATAAATGATCAGTCTATAATTTTAATTGTAGATTCATTTGAACAGTGAGAGACAGAATAACAACAACAAAAATCCAGAAAACGCACGTCAAAAATGTTATAAATTGATTTTCATTTTAATGAGGGAAATAAGTATTTGACCCCCTCTCAATCAGAAAGATTTCTGGCTCCCAGGTGTCTTTTATACAGGTAACGAGCTGAGATTAGGAGCACACTCTTAAAGTGAGTGCTCCTAATCTCAGCTTGTTACCTGTATAAAAGACACCTGTCCACAGAAGCAATCAATCAATCAGATTCCAAACTCTCCACCATGGCCAAGACCAAAGAGCTCTCCAAGGATGTCAGGGACAAGATTGTAGACCTACACAAGGCTGGAATGGGCTACAAGACCATTGCCAAGCAGCTTGGTGAGAAGGTGACAACAGTTGGTGCGATTATTCGCAAATGGCAGAAACACAAAATAACTGTCAATCTCCCTCGGCCTGGGGCTCCATGCAAGATCTCACCTCGTGGAGTTGCAATGATCATGAGAACTGTGAGAAATCAGCCCAGAACTACACGGGAGGATCTTGTCAATGATCTCAAGGCAGCTGGGACCATAGTCACAAAGAAAACAATTGGTAACACACTACGCCGTGAAGGACTGAAATCCTGCAGCGCCCGCAAGGTCCCCCTGCTCAAGAAAGCACATATACATGCCTGTCTGAAGTTTGCCAATGAACATCTGAATGATTCAGAGGACAACTGGGTGAAAGTGTTGTGGTCAGATGAGACCAAAATGGAGCTCTTTGGCATCAACTAAACTCACCGTGTTTGGAGGGGGAGGAATGCTGCCTATGAACCCAAGAACACCATCCCCACCGTCAAACATGGAGGTGGAAACATTATGCTTTGAGGGTGTTTTTCTGATAACGGGACAGGACAACTTCACCGCATCAAAGGGACGATGGACGGGGCCATGTACCGTCAAATCTTGGGTGAGAATCTCCTTCCCTCAGCCAGGGCATTGAAAATGGGTCGTGGATGGGTATTCCAGCATGACAATGACCCAAAACACACGACCAAGGCAACCAAGGAGTGGCTCAAGAAGAAGCACATTAAGGTCCTGGAGTGGCCTAGCCAGTCTCCAGACCTTAATACCATAGAACATCTGTGGAGGGAGCTGAAGGTTCGAGTTGCCAAACGTCAGCCTCGAAACCTTAATGACTTGGAGAAGATCTGCAAAGAGGAGTGGGACAAAATCCCTCCTGAGATGTGTGCAAACCTGGTGGCCAACTACAAGAAACGTCTGACCTCTGTGATTGCCAACAAGGGTTTTGCCACCAAGTACTAAGTCATTAAAATGCAAATCAATTTATAACATTTTTGACATGCGTTTTTCTGGATTTTGTTGTTGTTATTCTGTTTCTCACTGTTCAAATAAACCTACCATTAAAATTATAGACTGATAATTTCTTTGTCAGTGGGCAAATGTACAAAATCAGCAGGGGATCAAATACTTTTTTTCCCTCACTGGACCCCCCCTCCTGCCTCCTGCAACTCAGCCATTACGTGGGCTCAAGATGAGAAAGGAGGCATCGCACACGCAGAGCAACAATGCCGAGTTGGGAGACGTAAACGAAATTGCATTAAAAGTGCCAAGATCAATTTACCCAGAGCAATACGTGATATTTCAAGACAATTC